TCCCTTGGAACCGACTCCTTTGCCACCCCGATGGCCCAAAAGTCTTCTCCGTGGACCTCCACGTCCCAGCGGTGCCACCCCGACGTGAAGCCCCTTGAGCCCAGCACACAGGGATGGACTTTGAACCTTTTTGGGTTGGAGGGCAGGTTCTGCTCACGGCATTCCCTCCGCACGAGCTTGCAGTCTTCCGAGAGATAAAGCCTGGCGTGGGCCGCCTGTGGGTCCAGCGTCATCTGTGCTGGAGGTGGAAAGAGAGTCAGGCTCATGGCAGCAGATTTGAGGGGAAATAGGGCTTTTTCTCTCCCTTCCCATCCCTCCCCCATCCCCGTCCCCAGTTGGGACCACTCCAGGCGTTGCCAGGTGGTGGGACCAGGATGGGAGAAGGAGGAAAGGAGGCAGCAGAGCACTTGAGGTCAATCTAATGGTTGGGCACGTGTTGGGATCACTTACTTGTCAAGGGAAGCTTGAACTCCAGGAAATCTAGAGGGAAGAGACAAATGGGAGAGGCAGAAAGATCAGTTGGTCTGATTGTGGGTTTCTGCAAAAGTCCCGAGAGTCAGGAACAGGCTTGGGGGAAGGTCGAGAAACTTGAGGAGGCAGAGGAGGAGAGGAGGAGGAGGACAGGCAGGGAACATCAGAGCAACTTTCGCTGCTCATTCTCTGTCTCCTTGTGGGATCTTGAAAGAAATAACCCCTCAGTCAGCACCCAGGATGCCTTTCTTTCCCCTGGCTTCGCTCCATCCCTCCCCACCAAGAAGCACGATGGCATTGCCCTTTCTGGACCTGCTCTTGGTACCTGGAAATTTCTCAAGACCCTGCTTGATGGCTGTGGATTTCTCAGTGAAATCAGAGAATTTCTTTTCCAGCTGCGGGGAAATCTGGAGTGAGTGGGAGAGCGTTTCCCTCTGGCCCCTGGAAGGGAAGAGGGGATGGATTTACACCTGGTTGGAGTTTGCTGCTCCGTGTTTTCTCAGCACTCCCTGCTCGTGCCAGCCCGTGTCCAAATTCATCATTAATTCAGGAGAGAGAGGCAGAGCCTTCCTTCCAACCACCCCCGTGGCCTCGGTCAACTCCAAGGGCTGTACTGCAGAAGAGCCAACCTATCCCTACTTGCTTTCTCCCCAAGTGCTGCCACAGAGCTGCTCTGTGGTGGTGACATGGTGACACGAGAAGGACCACAGACCTGCTCAAGGGGGTTCCGATGTCCTGGAGGAGAGAGAAGAAGAGAGTCAGTGAGATGGAACACCTCCCCTTGGAGTACCGGGGTCCCACTCTAAGGAAGTCCCTCTTGGAGTGGGTTGGGGGAGACAAGGGAGGGCTGGAGACCAAGCTCAAGGTGGGCCTTCCCAGCCAGTTTGGAAAGCCTGGGCTCTCACCTTCAGGAGCTGCCAGTTTGGCTGCTGGTACGTCCTCTCCATCTCCCCAATCAGCGTGCCCAGCCTCGTGGTCTCCTCCAAAAGCCTCTGGAGGATTTCTTCATGGGCGTTCATTATCTCTGTGTCCAGCTGCTCCAGCTGGGCCAGAAGAGAGGACTCCTGCTTCTGCAGAACCTCGTGCAGCTTCCTATATGTCCTCACAATCTCCTGCTTTGCAGCTTCTGTCCTCTCCTGCCAAGGGCAAGCCCAAGTGGAGAAAAAGATGAAGAGAGCAGGAGAGGGAGCATCAAGGGTCAAGGGTGGGCCATGCCTTAGTGGGAGCCACCAAGAAGAGGCATTTGGGGAAGATACAAACCCCCTCTCCCTTCCCCACAGCCCTTGAGCATCACCCACCCCTGCGGGAGAGGAGGAGGAGATGTTCCTCCTTTCTTCCCACACCCTCTGCCCAGGAAATCTGATGGGCACCTACAGTGTGGTCCTTGAGTCTGTCTTGTGTGTCCTTCACGGAAGATTGAAGCTCCTCTTGCTCTGATTTCAGAAGGTACAGTTGGATCTGAATGTGTTTCTGAGAGGAAAGAAAGAAAGAAGTCCCCTGTGGAATGGCATGGTGGTCTGGCAGCCTCAGCAGAAGCACCAGGGAACTCTTGGTGGCTCTTGGGGTAAGTGTTGGCAGAGTTTTGGGACCCCCAGGACAGTTTCCATGTGATCTTCCCAGTATGGTGGTGGGGGGGGCCAAGAGGGTGAGGGCACCAAACTCAAGCCCAGGATGGATGGGCAAAGACTGGGATGATGCAGCCTGGGAAGGAGAAGGATCAAAACACTGCAAGGGCCAAATGGAGGTTAGAGAGAGGACAGAGCCAAATATCAGATCCCCACAATGTCCCTCATTACACGGTCATTAACCCAATTAATTGGTTAATTACCCACTGAGGCTGGGAAAAGAGGGCTCCTGGGGCCATAGGCATCCTCACCCTGCTCTGATCTGCTTTCCCAGGCAGGGACCTCTGGGGACAAGAGGAGGGATTGATGGACCTTCACCTGAACCCCTGGGTCTCATCTCCCTGTGCAGTGGGTTTTGGAGAGGAACCAGGATGATTTTTTCCTCCCTCCACTTCTCTTAAGCGACTTCCAAAGAAAACCCCACAGGAAACAAAAAAAACCAAGATAAAAAGCACACACATAACGTGGAAAAAACTTAGAATTGTACTTTTAATTTTAACTTCTCATCCGGGCAAGTTTGCAGCCACACTGTAACAGCCATTTAGTGATTAAACAGCGATTGAAAGATCAAAATAGAGTTGAAGGCACAGAAATGCTCCCATTTTGCACAGAAGGAAAGGAACCTGAACAACACTACCGTTTCCTGTCCCTTTAGTGGGACTGGGACAAAACCCAGCCCCTGGTTTCTTTCCCAAATGTAAGTTGATGGCTTTGGTTTTTTTTTAATCCTGTGCCTTAGGAGAGAAGTTTGAGTTGAGCATCCCCCATCACCATGAACCACGGGAAGACTCTCTCCCCTTGGAAAGACACTGGTGGAAAAGCAAAGATCCGTTCTTTGCTCTCGGCATCAAAAAACACCACCCTCCCTTCCTCATAGTCCAAGCAGATTCGTATCCGCTTGGGGACACGGCGTAGAGTCAAGGGGGTGTGAGCCGGAGAGGTCAGAGCCTTGTACCTATTTTGGTTACGACACACAGCCCATATCCCCTCATCGGGATTCAGTGAAAACCAACAGTCCCTTGGAACTGAATCCTTGGCCACCCCAATGGCCGATGCACCTTCTCTGTGGACCTCCACTTCCCAGCGGTGCCACCCCGATGTGAAGCCCCTTGAGCCCAGCACGCAGGGTTCAAATTTGAACCTCCCCAGGTTGTAGGGTACGTCCTGGTCAAAAATTTCCTGGAACACGAGCTTGCAGTCTTCCGAGAGATAAAGCCTGGCGTGGGCCGTCTCTGGGTCCAGCGTCATCTGTGCTGGAGGTGGAGAGAGAGTCAGACTCATAGCAGCAGATTTGGGGAGAAAAAGGGCTTTTTTCTGTCACTTCCCACCCCTCTGACCCGGTTGGGACCCCTCCAGGCATTGCCTGGTGGTGGGACCAGGATGGGAGAAGGGGGAAAGGAGGAAGCAGAGCACTTGAGGTCAATCTAATGGTTGGGCACGTGTTGGGATCACTTACTTGTCAAAGGAACCTCGAACTCCAGGAAATCTAGAGGGAAGAGAAATATGGGAGAAACACAAAGATCAGTTGGTCTGATTGTGGGTTTCTGCAAAAGTCCCGAGAATCAGGAACAGGCTTGGGGGAAGGTCGAGAAACTTGAGGAGGCAGAGGAGAAGAGGAGGAGGACAGGCAGGGAACATCAGACCAATGCTCGCTGCTCGTTCTCTGTCTCCTTGTGGGATCTTGAAAGAAATAACCCCTTATTCAGCACCCAGGATGCCTTCCTTTCCCCTGGCTTCACTCCATCCCTCCCCACCAAGAAGCACGATGGCATTGCCCTTTCTGGACCTGTCCTCGGTACCTCGGAATTCCTCCACACGTTCCTCGATGTTTGCCGAATTCTCAGTGAAATCAGAGAATTTCTTTTCCAGCTGCGGGGAAATCTGGAGTGAGTGGGAGAGCGTTTCCCTCTGGCCCCTGGAAGGGAAGAGGGGATGGATTTACTCCTGGTTGGACTTTGCTGCTCCGTCTTTTCTCAGCACTCCCTGCTCCTGCCTCCTGCCAGCCCGGGTCCAAATTCATCATTCATTCAGGAGAGAGAGGCAGAGCCCTCCTTCCAACCCCCCATGGCCTCGGTCAAGCCCAAGGGCTGTACTGCAGAAGAGCCAACCCGTCCCCAAGTGCTTTCTCCCCGTGTCCTGCCACAGAGCTGCTCTGTGGTGGTGACATGGGGACAGGAGAAGGACCACAGACCTGCTCCAGGTGGTTCCAATGTCCTGGAGGAGAGAGAAGAAGAGACTCAGTGAGATGGAACACCTCCCCTTGGAGTACCGGGGTCCCACTCGAAGGAAGTCCCTCTTGGAGCGGGTTGGGGGAGACAAGCGAGGGCTGGAGACCAAGCTCAAGGTGGGCCTTCCCAGCCAGTTTGGAAAGCCTGGGCTCTCACCTTCAGGAGCTGCCAGTCTGGCTGCTGGTACGTCCTCTCCATCTCCCCAATCAGCGTGCCCAGCCTCGTCGTCTCCTCCAAAAGCCTCTGGAGGATTTCTTCATGGGCGTTCCTTATCTCGGTGTCCAGCTGCTCCAGCTGGGCCAGAAGAGAGGACTCCTGCTTCTCCAGGAACTCGTGCATCTTCCTATATGTCCTCACAATCTCCTGCTTTGCAGCTTCTGTCCTCTCCTGCCAAGGGCAAGCCCAAGTGGAGAAAAAGATGAAGAGAGCAGGAGAAGAGCATCAAGGGTCAAGGGTGGGCCATGTCTTAGTGGGAGCCACCAAGAAGAGGCATTTGGGGAAGATACAAACCCCCTCTCCCTTCCCTACAGCCCCTGAGCATCACCCACCCCTGCGGGAGAGGAGGAGGAGGAGGAGATGTTCCTCCTTTCTTGTCCCCACCCTCTGCTCAGGAAAACTGATGGGCACCTACAGTGTGGTCCTTGACTCTGTCTTGTGTGTCCTTCCCAGAAGATTGAAGCGCCTCTTGCTCTGATTTCAGAATGTCCAGCTGGGTCTGAAGTTGTTTCTGATAGGAAGGAAAGAAAGAAGTCCCCTGTGGAATGAACACCTCCCCTTGGAGTACCGGGGTCCCACTCTAAGGAAGTCCCTCTTGGAGTGGGTTGGGGGAGACAAGGGAGGGCTGGAGACCAAGCTCAAGGTGGGCCTTCCCAGCCAGTTTGGAAAGCCTGGGCTCTCACCTTCAGGAGCTGCCAGTTTGGCTGCTGGTACGTCCTCTCCATCTCCCCAATCAGCGTGCCCAGCCTCGTGGTCTCCTCCAAAAGCCTCTGGAGGATTTCTTCATGGGCGTTCATTATCTCTGTGTCCAGCTGCTCCAGCTGGGCCAGAAGAGAGGACTCCTGCTTCTGCAGAACCTCGTGCAGCTTCCTATATGTCCTCACAA